TGGCAACCCTTGGCTCTTCAACAAATTAGAAAACTAGCACCGAAAGCACCACCGAAAATACATTTCCTTACATGGGTGGATAATTTATTTTAGAATATCCCTCGCCCTTCTGCACGTTCAAAATTTGAAGGGGAAAAATGAGCAGTATGTCGAGATCTACTGTTAGATAATCTATGAGTGTCCTTATTGAGGACGTGGAGAAAACTACCTCTCCCGAACAAACCCTCACCTACAAGTGTAGTGGAGATCTTGAGACAACCACTTTCTGGGAATAGATTGATAAGAGACGTTAACAGTTGTATATATAATAGTTATACTCCTCCATGGTCACAGTGGGTGAAGAAAGGAGTAATTCGGGTCAAAGATATTTGGGATCCGGAGAAAAAAGGGTGGAAGACGGTAGAACAACTTAGGAAAATTATTACTTATGCGCACAAATTGGAACAAAATCTAGACCAAATCATTTGCCCTATCCCCTTGGCATGGGTCAAAAAATTAAGAAAAGGGTTAAGTTTTTAAGAACTTCAAGGAAACTTTGTGACGATCACACACGACCCACAAGATTGACAGGTTGGGCAAATAGTGAGTATAATAAATGAAGGTGCATTAGTGCCTTTGTTCAAAATAACAACAAATCACCTAATCAGACCTTTATCTACTATTTTAGTTGAATTCTTTCCTTTCAAAGAAATGTTTAGGATCAAAGTGCTCTTTATGTCGGCAATCACAGGATGGAGGGTCTTTTACCCTCAATGCCCAATTCCTGACCTCCCATAGATCCAGAAGAATGGAAATAGCAAACAGGGAAAAGGGTCAAATCCCGTACTCTACAAACTCTAATGGTGAAGGCAGCATATCGTTTGATGAGACCAACAGTGGATGTGTCGTCCATAATAAGAAAACGATGGACAAGACATCTGAACATTGACACACAAAGTATAAAGAACATTAAATTCTTTAATAAACTTAAAAAACGACCAACTAAATTTTTCTCCTAACAATGACAAATTCTCCATCGTTGCTTACCAACCAATGATTGACTCATAGATCACACAAATCTGGAGCAACGTGGTCTGACACTTCCATGGTATAAAGCATGTCTTACAGTCTTCCCACAGAAGAAAATCAGAGAAACAATTGAACATGCGTTTATTCAATGCCCAGAAACGATTCTAATTTGGAGAAGATGGGATTGTGTGTGGAGAAGGTTGACGGGTATCGACTGGCCATGGGATTGGAAAGTCATTCTCCTGGGCCTATGGGTACCACTAGAAACACAACCATCAGAATTCACGATAATTTTTTTTTATATAGGAAGGAAAGTCATACTATGGGCTCTGTGGTACAAAAGATGCGTACATGAAAGAGAAGATGTAAAATTAGAAGGTAAGGAACTTGCTGATTTAATTGTTTAATTTGTACAGACAGAAATACGGGCACATTGGGTCACAATGAAATCCAAAATATAACAATTCCATTAGAAGAAGGACATTATCAATTGTATTCAAAAATTTAATCAAGAATGGCTGGAGGAATCTGAAGGAGAAAGCTTGGGAGAAGTGAAATGGTCGGGAGGGGAAGAACAGGAAGAACCTCTGAAGAGGGACTACCATCTATGCTTCAAGGACTGGTTTTCACGTCCATCAGGAGCCTCACTCAGATCTTCGGACTGCTTTCCTGATCCCTTCCCGCCCTCAAATTTGGCCTTAGTAGATTTGCATTGGTATGCATTGTAATATGGTTAAATAACTCATTTTGCTTATTATGGAGCATGGACTAGGTGGGAGTGATGCTAGCTTTGGAAGAGGTATTTGGCGGCCTAAATCTTGGCTGAAGAGGCAGATCCTACTCTTTGAGTATTATATTTAAAGTCATGAACTGGGTTAATATGTATGAGGGACGCTGGACCCGTTTTCCAGCAGGTGTAGCTCCCCACCAATAGAATGGAGCTAATTCCTAAAAAAAAAAAAAAAAAAAAAAAAAAAAAGAAGGAGCGTTCGTCTTTTTTCATCATTCTTTCAAAAATGCGTGCACTCTACAGTGCTGTGTGGCGAAGGGGGGACAAACTGTCGAATGGAGGCTGTCGATTTTTTTCTGACAACCGTCGGATTTTTGTGTCTTTCGACAGTGGTGCGGCGAGGCCCAAAGGAACTCGCCACACCTATCCCGAAAACGCAAAAAAGTTGGGAAGCACTCTTTAAGGGGGAGATGTCGAAAAAAAGCAACGCTAGCATCTGCTCGGGCTGTTTGTTGGGAAAAAAAAAAAAAAAAAAAAAAAAAAAAAAAAAAAAAAAAAAAGGTTTTCTACAGTGGTGTGGCCGCACTGTGGCGAGACCCAAACTATCGAAAATCGCGTTTTCGAGAAAGTACGAGCAAGCAGAAAATGCATGCATAGTCCTTTGGGACATCTGCTAAAATTGAAACGATACAGAGAAGATTAACCTGCCCCCTGCGCAAGGATGACACGCATAATCGAGAAAGTACGAGCATACAGAATCCACAGAGTGAAAGATTGAGAGACCCAAGCACGAAGCTTGAAGTGCTGAACCAATGCTTGTTTGACAACAGTTTGGTCAAACTGCCCTCGGAGACACCTTTTGGGACACAAGATAGAGCAGGGAACTTTGCCCGCTCATGGATAGAAAGGGGTCTTCCTGGTGAAACATATACGGGACGAGGCAAGACAAAGTTGGTGCTCGACAGGAGAATTACGGAAGAAACTGCCAAGAATACACAAGATGGAAGAGCACTACAATGCGCTGCTAGCTGCTATTCCACCCTGTTGGGAAGAACTCATAAAGGAGAGTTTGGAGCATGCGATGGGTACCTGGTTACTCCAGCCGGATGATCCGCATTTTTTTCTGAAGGTTTTGGGCCCTGAGCTCCCGCAAGGCATGAAGTTGGAACGATGGAAGAAAGAGAGGCCTTTGAAGGAGGGAACAAAACTTGTCAGAGAAAAGGAACTCTCAATGAAGTCCACAGTAGGTCTGCAGGCAGTAAGAGTATGGGAATCTCAAGACTTATCGACCAAGCAAGTAGTATTGCTGGATGGCCTGGCAGAGATGTTTAGGGTGGAGCCACTGCTATGCGGGTGGAAAGGACCAAGGGGAAAGGTAATACCATTGGTCCAATACCGCCCGAAGATAGGGGTGAGGCAGCTTCGATTGAGGAAGACACAGCCACAAAACGTAGCATTGACGAGATTTCAGAATTCTCAGGGTGCAGCGAAGCCTCCCCCGGACTTCAGAGGATTGTGGAAACTGTTAAAAAAAGTCCCGTCACAGAGATAGGCAAGTCTCATATGGGCTCAATTATTGGGAGTCATACCTTCGGCCGTATGGCTCAACCAGAGAGGGATGGACCTGACATTGACATGTGTAAGATGTAATTAGGGGTGGGAAGCCACGGAACATCTGTGGCTCCTCTGCCCCTTGGCAGATGAGCTATGGGTGTGGTGGAAGCTTCAGTTGGAGGAGGGGGGAGGTTCAAAGTGGGAGTGGTCGGATGATTGGATTCTGTACGCCCTCCCACCCTCTGCCTCTAAACTCACAGATAAATGGGGATATGTGGCACTTGTCTGTAGAGGTATATTGCTGGAGACAATCTGGAAAACGCGGAATGTCATGGTCTTCAGAAAAGAACGGATGTCTGTTCAACAACAGACTTGTATGGTCAAGGAAATGCTTAGATTAACGGTACTGTCGGAATGGAGGAAATCCAAATCAAGAGCAGGTCGTGGGCTCTATTGGTTCCATAAAGTATGGATAGAGAGAGAGTTTCTGGCATCCATTTCGTCGGAAGGTAACTTGAAAGTATCAAAATGGTTAACCTAGGCCCAGATCACTTGGCCGAACGTAAGCCAATACTTTTTCCTGGGCAGAGATATGGGGTTTGGTCAACTATGTTGGTTGTATCCTAAGACTTAAAGAATTTTGAGTTACAAAGATTAAGACTAGGATACCCTGTGGTTTGTTTTAATTTCCAATGTGGGAAAGCATCCACAAAGTTAAACATATACATCATATATATTTTTTGTAAAGAAAAGCTATCAAATTTAGCTTGTATTAAATCAATATGGTGTTTTACATAATGATATTCATATAATACCTGAGCGGAGTTCATTAAAGGATTCAGAGTAATAGTATCTATCTATATCTTTAATGTTCTGATCTCCCTTGCCACAAATATGAGATGTTAGTGTTTGTCAACAGAGTTCTTACCGTGCATTTTGAGGGCAATGTTAGGGGCTGTGTTTTTCAGCCATGAGGTGTGAGGGTAGACAGATGGCTTTCTACTACAAGGGGAAATCCCTTATTTTTACTGGGCTTCAAGGTTATTCTTTTGGAAAGCATGAGTTATAGGAAGGGGACACTGATCCCGACTTTTTTTTTTTTTTTTTTTTTTTTTGGGAAAAAGCGAGGAATCCATTAAAATACCAAACTTTGAGGCCGGGAATTCCTCACAAACAACCCGGAACAAAAACGACACCAACTCAAGCCCTTACCCAGGGCTCATCAGCCTACCGTGGGGCAAACCCCAACAACACTGCTTAAACCACACGTGTCCCCTTCGAACAACGAGCTATCTTGTAAATAGCCACCACCACTCTTCCAAAACATGCGTCCGAGTCAAGACTCAGCTCACCTAACCACTACGGGTCCTAGTTCCTACGTCCTACCGCTAACCTAACTGGGTAACCACCCCAGTATACTCCGCCTAACTCGGCGAAGAGGAACTCCGTCCTTCTACTGTCCTGGGCACTCTCTACCCCCACATCCCTACTAGCTCCTATTGCGGATCAAAAACCGAGTGCACATGGTTTGACCTATATTCCTACCTCAATAACCAGTCTGTGAAACAAAGCTTCCCCCCCAACCCAACCGAGACTAACTTGCCGCCCTGTTCCCATGTTTCTAAGAACCACCTTCGAGCTACTAACCTGTTACCCCCGGACAACACCTTCCTCTTCCAATCTGCTGCAATCGTCCGACGGACCATTAGTTTGAACGTAGCTTTGATTTCTGGGTCCGGCATGATTTTTCTTTCAAACACAGAATGATTCCTTTCTGTCCATATGACCCAAAAGCCAATCGCCCTAATGGCCTACGCCACATACCCCCAGCCCCGTTCCCCATGGATGTTATCTGGGAGACCTCCTAACAGGACCCAATCCCTGTCCCATTTCATTACATGGTCCGTCCAGACACCCCATTGTTTCGCCCACCAGTCCCAGATTCGCCTGGACGCTGGACAGTCCCACCAGATGTGTGGGGTCGACTCAAAGGACCATGAGCACCTCTTACACTGCAGCTCAACTAGGATTTCTCTACTGTTGAGCGAAACGGCTGATGGGGTTGCCAATAGCGACTCCAGCCATAACAACGCTGCAGCCCTTGGGTTCGGTGCATCCGAGATTTGTTTCCAACAGCTCGATAAGGCATGAGAGATCCTTGGCGAGTCCACCGACAGTATTCTACTCCACCTCTCGGAAGCCGTCATCAGGGGGGTTCTCAGTGGGGCCAAAACTTCCTGCGCCAAATTCAATGTGAACTCGTCAAGCCGTACATGTTCCCCGTGAGGGCCTCTACTCCTCCACACCCATTGATTTGGGTCTGCTTTCAGCTGCTTGATTGGCTTCCCTGCCTTCCAGATCCAGACTCTCCACTCCCCATCGTCCTCCACTCTCTCCCTCACCCTGACTTGCTCCAACCTTCCTATCGGGACTATCGTGAATTTATCCTCCGACTGCTCCACAATCTTAAGGAATCTCCTTGGGGCACCTGCTTCTGCTTCTTCTGCAGCAAGCTGTTCATACCAAGTTCCTGTTGGGTCCGGGTAAGAAGGGGAGAAAACCAGTAGCCATTCCTCTGGTATGGCCTCCAAGATCTGCGTCTTTCTCAGTTTGGTAAATTTACAGGGGAACAACTTCCCCCGCAAAACCTCCTCGTTGAGCCAACAACCGCTAAATTTATCCCACATATTCCGTATTCTTACCACTCCCCGTTCCATCCATGCCCTGCCGAAGCTGCCTGAGTCTCCATTCGCTTTGAGGGTCATGCCATCAGGGCCTCTGATGCGAGGGTTTTCGAACAAAATCTGTTCTAGCACTTCCTGTTTGGTCTGAGGCTCGCTCAACATATCGGGTTTGACCGCCCGCCATGCTTGCAGTACCGCCCCCCAAAATTCCGATTTGATCCTCCTTCTCAGGTAGGATTCAATCCATACACACGCCCAGACATCCTCTGCCCGGGACAACTGCCATTCCCTGCTGAGGATTACCTCCGCTAGCAGAATCCAATGCTTTTCTTTCTCCTCCATTATCGCTCTCAGGACCCATCTTGCCAGCAAGGCCTGATTCCTTCTGCCCGGATCCACCATTCCCAGTCCCCCTGCATGTCTTGGGGCGCAAATCAGATCCCACGTGACCTTAGACATTGCGGCCTCCCCTTCTTCTGCGCGCGGTCTCCATACGAATTTTGTCGCCTTCCTTTTAACCACCGCTTGAGTCTTCTTGCTGATTGGACGGACGTTCCCTACATACGTGAGAAGGGCAAGCAAGGCTACGTTGACTACAAGGGCTCTTCCGAACAACGAAATGTGTGCAGCTGTCCCCCAGTTGGACAGCTTCTGCGAAACTTTGGACTGAAGGATCTCCTCTTGCCTCAGCACACAAGAGGTAAGGGCAATTTGGACGCCAAGGAAACGCTCAGACTCTTGAGGCTTTACTCTCTTCATTCCCCAGTCTACAGCCGGTGCGTACTTCTCCGGTAAAAGATATACAGACTTCGACCAGTTAATTGCTGCTTCTGACAATGTCTCGTACTGTCGGAGACAGAGCCTCAGAGCGGACATTGAGCTCTGACTATTAACAGAAACTGCGAACAGGTCGTCCGCAGGCGCTTTGACCTTGCATGGTCGGCAACCAACCTCCAAGCCTACAATCTGAGTGTTGTTCCTAACATTGTTCAACAAGATCTCCAAGTGAACAACAAACAGAAGGGGAGTCAAAGGGAAGCCCTGCCGCAAGGATTGGGTCAACTGAAATGGTTGGAAGATATGCCCATTTACCATAACCGACGCAGCTGAGTGAGAGTACAGGGCTACCACCCAGGTGCAAAAGACTTCTCCGAACCCCATCCTTCTAAGGGAAGTCAGCACGTACGACCAGTTCACAAGGTCGTACGCCTTCTCCATATCTAGGAGTAGGACCGACATATCCATCTCATCCCTGCTCACCACTTCCAGAACCTCCACTGCAGTTACTATATTCTCAAAAATAGAACGCCCGCTTACGAATGCGGCCTGATCCTCTTCAACCAGGGTTGGCAGGTAACGCCCCAAGCGCCTGGCCAACACTTTTGCCAGGATTTTATATGACACGTTGAGGAGCGAAATTGGTCTCCAATTTCGAATCTCATTCGTGTCTCCCTTTTGAACAGAATGGCGATTATCCCCCTACATGCACTCACCGGGAGATTACCTCCCAACTGAATTTCATTGTATATTTCCGTTAGGTCTTCCCTCATCACCTCCCAGTGGTCCCTGTAGAACTCCACGGGGAGGCCATCATTCCCCGGGGTCTTTCCACCTGCCATCACTCTGAAAGCCTCCCCCACCTCTTCCTTTGTGACTGGTCGATCTAGGTCCAGACGGCCTTGCCTGGACAGCCTCACTGTAGTGTTGTCCCAATGAGCAGAGCCTTGTAACAGATCTGTGTTTGCTCCTTCGCCCAGTCTTCTTGAGGTCATGATATCCTTGTAGCAGGCCACTGCGTAATTGCAAATATCTTGAGGACGCGACGCCACCGGTTCACTTGTATCGAAGGGATGTTTTAACTCCTTCATGGTTGGTCCTGATCTGGCCGGAGCCAGTCTTTGAAAGGTCTCCCTGGTCATCCTGACATAAACTGCCATTCCCTTCACCTTCGTCCTTTCTGTCCAGAGTTCGGACTCCTCCTGCTGCTTCTGATCCCACTCTGCTAATCTTCTGACCCTCTCTTTGCCCCAAGTCAGTTCTGAAATGGGGTGTTGTTTCATCTTCTGTTCCGCCTGTTGAACCTTCTTCCGAAGCCTCCTCTCCTCCTTGTTCCTGTTCTGCGCGAGGATCCGCGAGAATACATTGAGTAGATTACTCAAGATTCTCGAGCCCACCCCCCACCATTCCGCCTGTGTAGCAAACTTATCCTTCTGGGCCTGCCACCGCTTCCAAAAGGCCTGCGTCCATTCTGTCAGATTCTTGTCGCGAAGGTTCACGGTGTTTAGTTTGAAGTAGCCTTTACCCCTTGGGTTCTCTGGGCCGAATTTGAACACTCCAATCACTGGTTTGTGGTCAGAGATCAGGCTGCTGCTTTTCGAGATACTTATGAGCCTCTCTCGGATCCCTCCTGCTGCAAGCAGATAGTCTATCCGCCTACCCTTCCCCTGGTGCGAGAACCAGGTGAAGCCCTCCTAAGTTGGATGAATGACTCTATAAGAGTCGTGTGAGTCCAGGTCCAACATGAAGTCCACGAAAGCCAAAACATCCTTCGAGCACCCAATAGCTGCCTGACCTGAGGGTGGGTCCAGAGCCATATAATTCCAATCCCCCCCTATCACTATCTCATTCACATCAGGTAAGGCCACCCTCAGCTCGTCCAAAAAAGGCTAACCTCTCTCTCCTCTCTACGGAAGCATAAACCGTTGCCACCGCCCATCTTTCATTGCCTTGCACTAAGGTGACCCACGCCCACCTTCCCCACAGGTCTGCATAATAATCCTCTATAACTACCTCCAGGTCCCGATGGATGAGGATCGCGACACCTCCCTTCGTCCCTCTAGCTGGTGCCCATATTTGTGGGTCATCCCACCATCTCCCCAATTCTTCCACTTTCTCGTCATTAAGTTTCGTTTCTTGGAGGCATATTATTGAAATCCTATTTTCGTGCATCCAAGACTTTACCCTCGATCTCTTACTCCTCCCCGTCGTGTCCCCAAACCCCTGCAGATTCCACGTTGCTATCCTCACCTTAACCATTCTTCCTGTGTGCACCCTGTTGTGATTGGATATGGGCTTGGGAGGATGAAATCTCTAACCAGCTGTATGTAAGTGCTTCCATCAGGAAGTTAGAATCCAACTTTTTATCCTTCGGGAACTTCGACTTCAATTCCACCAGTGCTTCAAATGAAATCATCGGTGGGGAGATGGTTAGTCGGGCCAGTTCCTACCTCTTTTCCTCTACGAAGGTTGAAAGCGGGATCAATCGAAGGCCCAGAGGTTCCAGCTCGGCTAGACTATTCTCTGTCAACCTTGCATCCACCAATGACACATACAACTTGATCTTGCTTCCCGTTGGCCCAAAGACTATTCGCGGCATGACAACCTCAGGAATCACCCTCATGGGGAACTTGTTCAAATAAATCATCTTCAGATTGTTCTCGACCTCCAGAATTGTTGGGATGTCCGATACCGCAAAACCAAATATTGTCCACGGATCCGCCCCTTTTTGCCAAGTAATCGCCCATTGGGTACTCCTAAGCGAGGTGCATACCAGAGGTACCACGAATTGAGCTATGTCTGAAACTTGTCCTTTCGTGGTAGTCGTGCGGCGATCCCTTGTTGATTTTTGTCCTGGTGTCGCCATGCCTTTTGTTTGAGCTACGGACTGTTCCGAGCCGCTCCAGATGGCTCTGGGGTTAGTTCCACTCTAGAGGCTGTACTCAATCTCCTTTGCTTCCCCGGCGTTTGGGATCTCGTACCCCCGGACGTGCCTTCTTTCCGTCGACTTCCCTGCATACTGGCTTCTGCACCGTTCGGATCTCCTCCTCCAAATAAGGGGCGCGGCCGGAGCGGTATTCGAGTGTCCATCTGCTGCTGTTGATTACCTTGCTGACACGATACATCCGGGCCCTGTGTGCTGCCTTGCCCTATAAACGGATCTTGGAAACCCCAATTCGGGGCCAGGCCTTGTCCCCCCAGAAGACCTGCCAAAAGGGCCGGATGGATGCCATTTGCTTGCATGCAGTTCGCTAAAGGGCCATCTTGCCAGCTGCCCGGCTGAAGCCCTTGTGCTTGTGCGGCTCCCATCGCTCCTAGACTCCCTCCGAGCCCTACTCCCCGCAGTGGTCCCCCTATCATCCCCACTTGGATGTTTCCCATCTGACCCGTCCCTCCCCCGAAGCTCCCTGTATGTCCCCACATACCCCCCTGAGCGCATTGGGAATGCATTGTTCCCAAATTGTCCTGACATCGCTCCTTCTTGGGCAGCGCCCCCCGATTGTTGTTCGCCTGTGCCTCCTTGGGGTGAGAACGCCGGGCTCGATCGGAGTTGACCTGGATTTAGCGCTCCCATAGGCTGTCCCGATGGCCCAGGCCTCGGGCCCGATCTACCTTGATAACTTCGACCTGGATTGGCAGCACTCGATGATGCCACTGGTCCCTGTTGCTGCGCTGGAATCGAGCCTGATTGAGTTGGACCGGGTCTTCGATGTTGTGCTCCTCCTCCACGTCTGCAATCTTGCTCTTCGTGAAAAAATTGTCTGCAGATCCTACACTTGGGGGTATCCGAGCATCCAACTCCAAATCGAACCACGCGTTGACCAGAGCTGGTCTTGCAGGGTATGCGTCCGTTGGGTGTGCCAAAACAATCCTCCCAATAGCCTTCTCTATTTGTGCATAAATAAAGGGCATGTCGTCCAATGGAACCTGCAGCGCCATAACCCAGAATGATCTCTCCTCCTCCTGCCTTCTTTCCTCCCTGAATTCTGCCCTGGTCATCCAGGGCTTAAATAAAACTTTATACGTTTCCGAACCAAGGGTTATCTCTACCTGCCCTTCTGTCTTGATAAAATCGGCAACCTCCCTTGTTTTGGCCACGTACGAGGCCACCCCTGGGCCCTCGATCTTTAACCTTCCCCTTCGATTGTTGTGCTGCAAGGTACTATTCCCCATGATCCACCCGTCTTCGAATGCCCGAACCAAATCATCCTTGATGTTCCTTGCCAGAAACCTAGCAGCCTCCTTGAAAATCACAGTCACGGTGCGCTCCTTAAGCCACTTCACCTTGATCTCGTCCAAGGATGTGTTCAGCTTAAATCTTACTTCTCTTCCCTCCACTACCATTTCCCCCGGATCTATCTCCGCCGGGTAGACCCCGTCGTCAAAGCACATCGTCAGTAAACTCCGAATCCTGTCTTCGTCCTCCCAATAATCCCTTTCTTCTTGCGGTCCGGGAGGGGGGGATCAGCCCGACCCCTCTCCACCCGGCGTGTTCTCCATTGCTTCCACACTCCCAAGCAGACACCGTCAACTTCTAACCCTCGAATCGTTTCGTCCTTTACTTCCGTTGTCCAACCTATACTACTCCAAAATCAAACAACCACCTGATTGGGGAGTGGCAACCTCCGCCTACTCTCCACTCCCATGGCTAGTCTGGCGCCAAGTCCTCCCTACAGTGAAGGAGGGTGGAGGAAGAGAACCAAGTCGATATCAGCGATGGTATCTCCTGGGTAGCGGCACGGATTCTGCCGAACCCGGTTCACGCGCAGCGGAGCGCGTAGCGCCCGTAACGAAAGGTCCACGCCCCGTCCCTCCCCTGTCTCCAAATCTCAATATTCTCAATTTCACACACCGCGATCCCGGTTTTCAGATGGTTGTAATGGGGAGTTGGCCCCCCCCCAAAAAAAAAAGATTGGAGCTGAAAGCTAAACTGGCTAATGCGTCCTTCCGGACATCCGTTAAAATTGGAACGATACAGAGAAGATTAGCATGGCCCCTGCGCAAGGAAAAAAAAACTAAAAAAAAATAAAAAAAAATTAAAAAAAAATCTGGCTAATGCTGTCAGGATAACTTCCGGGTTGAATTGTGAGGTCCGGGGCGATACCGGCCAGGGGTCAGCCGGTAGCATCAGGACCGAGCTTCTTCGATGGGCCAGTCACTGTGCCTCCCCTCCGGTCCTCTCCCCCTATG